TAGACTGTAGACGAAGTTCCTCTCTGCAGTTCAGTAGTCCATAATTTGATTTGAGACACAACTAAATATAGCACTGGCTTTGGTATGGAGGATGGAAATCTGACTCTCCTGCCTCCCTCCCCCCCACTTAGAAGCAACAGGAGATTCTTTTCAAGACAAGTGGCCTGTGAGCCTTGTCTAAGGTCAGACTGAATCTTAAAATTTTTCCTGGTAACATTCTAAAGTCAGAAGCAGTGAGGTCTTAGCTACAACCTTCAGTGCCGGAGTTATGGGATTCTAGACTAGCAACTTTCCAGGTAGCTCCTCTAAAACTTCAGATGCTTGGAAATGTTATCCTGCCTTCCCCATTGCTACTCTGTACAGCAACTAGGGGCATTAATCCAAGAAGTAGGAGACAAGGTGACCGTTTGCACCAATATTCCAGATCCCCACCGTCCTGCCTGTACTGTGGAGTGCCGTGCTGCAGTTTCTCCTAGTCAAACTCCTAGGCTGCCGGAGAGAATAGATTCATTCTGCAGAAGGCCTGTGGGTCGTTTACTTGGAGTTGCAGAGAATCTACTGCCCCTGGGACCTTGCTATGCAGAAGAGGGCCCACACCAGAACCTCCACAGAACCTCTGAGCCTCCAAGCTCTCAAATTTACCATCTGTGAACAGTCGAAGTGTATCAGTGTTGCCAGAGAGAGGCACTATAAAGCATTTTGCAAATTTGAAAAAATAAAAGGTCAGGGGCAACGCTAATAATAACCGTGATTATGTCACTTCATAAAAAGGGTTCAGTTCAGAGCTACAGAGGGGCCTCCCGCGGTAAGCGCTCTACTTTCGGCATGCCTAACTTGTTTAAACCTCTATTCCGACGAAGTAGGTGGCTCGGGGTTCCAGGGCGGTGCCACCTCCGAAGGGCCTTTTCCACGATTTTACAACAGTCGCGGGGACGTCCCCTGTCCTCAAGACTTCTGACTTAACGCTTGCGAGCGTTCTTATAAGTTCGGGAACCTTCTGTCTCCTTGGGGCTCTGGGTAGAGCCCCGTTGCTGTGGAGACCTGAAAACCGGGAAGGAAGGAGGTGGAATACCATGAAATCCGGGAATGTCTAAAATGGAGACAGCCCCAGCTTGCAAGATTTTATGAGGGAGGACGTCTCCCTTCCGAGGAAGGTCACTGTGCCCAGATGAATGGTGAAGTAGCACGTCGCGAGCCTAGGAAAATGACAGCGTCCTGTGAGCTGGGGCGATCGGCCAGGGTTGCGCCTACGCCTCCCCGGCCCCCGGCTCTGGCTGCGAGGTTACCTGGGTGGGTGCCGCAGCCGCTCCCCGCCGGCTCCCCCGCAGTGGGTGGGTGTCATTC